TACTTTTCGGCCTGTGCACCCCATCCCTGAGGTTTTGCCTTCGTGGTGATGGATAGGCAGCCCAATCACCCTCCCATCTCTTATGTACCTCATACACCAGTTCATGGCCTCCTCCGTTGTGTATGCCTCGATCATAGAGCCCTCCGGGTAAGCGCGGTTATGGACGTATCTATTGAGGGTGGACATGAACCGCTCGTACGTCCACATCTGGTGTTGGCACACGGGGCCCAGTTGATGGATCTGATCGACCATATGCATCATTAGGTGTGGCATAATATCAAAGTAAGATGGTGGAAAGCACATCTCGAGCTGGCAAAGGGTCTCCGCGATGAACTCCTTCAGGGCAGGCAGCTCAGCCTTATCAATGACCTTCTGGGTGATGCGGTTAAAGAAGTATGACATCCGTGTGATGACCATCTTCACGTACTCTGGACGGATAGCCCTAATCGCAATTGGTAGGAACATCGTCAGCATGACATGGCAGTCATGTGAGTTGTAGCTGGTCATTATGAGGTCTTTCATGGAGACCAGGCTCTTGATGTTGGAAGAGAAACCAGTCGGCACCTTGATACCCCTAAGCAACTTAAGAAAAGCCGTCCTCTCGTCTTGCGTTAGGTTGCAGGCCGCACCCAGGATATCGACTTTACCGTTCTGAGGCGGTCCCGGGTGAAGGTCCGGCCTGATGCCCAGATTGACAAGATCCGTCCGTGACTTGATACCATCCTTTGTCTTGCCCTTGATGTCCAGCAGGACACCGATCGTGCTTTCGAAGACATTTTTCTCTAGGTGCATGCAGTCGATGGCATGGGGTGTATTCAGTGTTTTCCAATATGACAGGTACTTGAAGAAAATCGACTTCTTCTTGAAAGGAACGACGGCGGGGACTTCCTCCGTCTAGTCCCGCTTTCGCTTCCTTGTCTGCTTGGTCCCCTCTTCAGGTGGCTTCTTCTTTCCAAACTCCACCTGATCCATGTCCTTGACCATCTCATACACCTTTGTCCCCCAACTAGTCTGCGTCGGTTGATCATGCTGCGGCTCGTCCTGATTGTCAAAGTATTTGTTCATAATACTTCTTCTATACCTGTGATTTTTGGCGAGGAACCGTCTATGCCTCGTGTACACCATCTTATTGGATCCCTTAAGGTAAGTGTAGCAGGTCCCATCGATGCAAATTACGCAGCCGGTCTTTCCTTTGATCTGATAGTGAGAAGAGACCGGGGTAATCGGTGATGGTGACAAAGATGATTGCTTTTAGTGTGAACTTCTCCTTGCGGGATGCATCCACCATCTGGACCCCAACATCAAATAGTATCTTCATTTCCTCCATGAACGGCTCTAGGAACACATCTATATCGTTGTCGGGCTGCTTCGGTCCGGAGATAAGCATGGTCAGCATAAGGTACCTACGCTTCTGACATAGATGGGGAGGTAGGTTGTACATGGTGAGCACGATGGGCCAAGTGTTGTGCGAGCTACTAAGCTCACCGAACGGGTTCATCCCGTCGGTACTCAGCGCGAACCTAACATGCCTGGGCTCCTTGCCAAACTCTGGGTAGGCCTCGTCGAAATCCTTCCACTGCTTGCCATCGGATGGGTGCCGTAGCTTGCCATCATCTTTTAGGAGGTCAGCTGATGCATGCCAGGACATGAGCTTGGCATCGTCCGGGTTCGCGAATATTGCACGCAGGAGATCGGTCACGGGCAGGTACCACACCGACAGTGCTGGACTTTTCCTGTGCGTGTAACCCTCTTCTTCATCATCCTGCTGAGCCGAGATCTGTTTGGCTGCACTGCTCTTCTTTGCCACCTTCTTGTTCTTCTTCCGACCACCCCACAAGCCTCCCTCGTCTTCTGCATCCACGCGACAACCAGCATTTTTCTTGTACCGACTAAAGCCGCAGTGCGGACAACTCGTCAAATTCTCATACTCATTGCCCCGATACAGGATGTAGTGGTTAGGGCATGCATCAAACTTTCTAAGCTTCATCGCCACTGGCCGGATCAACTTCTTGGCCCGATAAATATTGGCGGGCACCTTGTTAGCCGTTGGGTACGTGGTGGCAAGGTAGCTTAACAACTCATTGAAGCTAGTGTCAGACCAACCATGACGAGCCTTCAACATCAACATATGGAGGTTAAAACGGAGCGCCATGCACTCCTTTGGACAATCGCCGCCGTCCTTATAGAGAGGATCAACTGCCGCCTGCTTCAACTCTCTGAAATTCTCCAACCACTTTGGGCAACCCAACACAACGTCGTCTTCATCGAAGTGTTTGACTAGATCTTCAACAAGCTGCACATCCTCGGGTTGGCTCATAGTATCCTGACAATCCCCACCATCGCTAGCTTCGTCGGCCATGTCTTGCATTAGATCATCCACCGTGATGTAATCACGACAACTGTTGTCACTGTCGGTTGGCGCAGCTGCTGCTGAAGATGATGAGGAGTCGGGTGCTCCTAAAGGATCTTTATTCACCGGTGGTGCTGTCGTCGTCGGCGTCGAAGAGCTCACTCCAGATGCACCGCCACTCGCACCAACTCTTTCGCCGTCAAATGTCCAGACTGTGTAGCCCTCGACAAAACCATACATGATCAAATGAGTTTGCACCTCGCTGTCTCGGTGGGCTTTAGGTTCTTGCAACGAGAACATGGACATATGGCTGTCATCCGCTTCAGTCTCTCATGGTGAGCTTTACCAGCAGCAATAAACTTCCTTAATTCAAAGAGGTACCGCGGATCATTCACTCTATCGATCCGGTACATCCATTCCGACCTATCCATCATACCTGCGAACATTATCCGTCACAATCAACATTAAATAAAGAAGAATTAGGAGAAATTGATGATTTTTACGTCCAAAATCATGAAAAAGAGAGGAAATGACGATGTGAAAGATGAAGCATGCATCTATGATGAATCTAAAGTTAAAGAAATACATGACATCATTTTTTCCATTAAAATTGATCTAGATCTAGATCTAGATCTAGATCTAGAGAGAACTCTAGGTGATGGAAATAGAGAGAGAGGATGGAAGGAGAGAGGGAGAGCCTTTATGAACCTCTTATGATGTCCTCCTCCCTCAAATCCAAGCCCTTCAACTCAAATCAAAAGTTTCCTCAAATTTTAGGGCAAAGCCTCCCCCCATGAGTTTGAGAGAGGAAGACCCGTGGAGAAGATGAAGGGGTGGTGCTGTGTATTTGTATAGGCGATACCGCGACAGGCAAGATAAAGCGCCCGCCTCGGTAAATCAACTCTTTACCGCGGCGGGCAGTTTAAAGAGCCCGCCACGGTAAATCGTATTAACCGCGGCCCTGCCATGGAGCCCATTTTGGCCACGCTGCGCAAATTGATTCCTGTAGTAGTGCTCTTTCTCCAGATCCTATGAGACTCTAACAGATATGATGGATCCCAAGAATGCGCAAGAATGACCTATTCAGTGTTCACTCAATGGTCTATATAATGAAACGTGAGAACAAAAGTATTTTTATGCACCTATTCAGTGTCACTGCTGGAATCTCGTTTTTTCTGTGTGTGCGAAAACACACAGAAAAATACGAATACCGTTAGAAAAATATTTTTCTGACGGTGTACCCTCAGAAAAATACCCACAGAAATATAATGACAGAAAAATCAAAATTTTTCTGTGGGTTCACCGTCAGAAAGAATTTTTCGGTGGGTCTCACACGCACAGAAAAATTGTTTCTGTGTGTTAACCCACACAGAAAAAAGAAATAAACGCACAAAAAACACGTTTTTTTTCTGTCGGTCCAGGTGAACTCACAGAAAAATTCATTTCGCCCAGATTAAAAATAATATTTCTGTGTAGCCAGCCTCACAGAAAAAAGAGTTAAACGCACAAAAAAATTATTTTAAAACAGTAGCAACAGAATATTAAAATATATATTTTCCATACAGTAATTTATGTGTATGACCAACAAGGTTTCATTCAAATAATACACAAATACAATACTCAAAGGCTATCATATAAAAGAAACGAAGCATTACTGATGGACCCGCTAGCAAATGAAAGAGTCAAAGAATTAACTGCTGTTGTGAAAGAAACTGTCACTCAGCACTCTATCACCATCTGTTAATCAAGAATGGAGGTGCTGGGCTTGAAGTTGAACGCACTGCAGAAAATAGAACAGGAAATTATAGAAGGGATGCAAAGATATAAGTGTACAGAGAGATTTGAGCATGCCGAAGCAAAGAAGATAAAACAATCATGACAGGAGATCATTTCTTTTGAACAAGTTCCTCAATTTATTTGTGACCCCAAAGATTATGATGTCATCATTTCAAATGTCAGGAAGGTAGTGCTACTAATAAACTCATGCAAAACAGTTCAAGTGAAAAAATGTAGAGAGATGATTAAAGAAAACTATTTCTACAGGCTCACCACGTTAGTGTGCTTCTATAGGTAAGTTCAAACTTCAAAGACTAGGACACTCTTAGCCTGAACACATTAACATCAAAGCACATTACACCATTGATTATTACTGCAAATAGTGACAAAAACTCTGCCTACTAATCAAAAGAAACTCTCTCCATTATTCATGTGATGCTACAACTTGTCTTCTGAATTGTTGTAAAATACAATTGCTGTAGTCAACAGCACTGTTAAGCCCTGAACCAAATTTACCAGCTAGTACAAGTACACTGTGTACACCCTATACACATGCAAGCTGTCAAACATAGATGTTTATAGATATACTGCATATATTATTGGTACCATATATTATTAGTAGCATAACAAAAGTGACTAGAGTTGTCTCACGAGTGACGACAGCGACATGTACATGATTCAAAATATCTCGGTTTCAACTGCCAGGCCGTCGGAACTCAGAACTAGTGGACACTAACCTCAGTACTTTTATCACTCCAAGCTGCTTTGATCAATAGCCGAACCTCAAAAAAACAAAGTACTAGTAAACTAGACTTAGCTGCTACTAGTAGATAGTTACTCAGTACTCACCAAGTTGAAAAAAAAATCCGAAACAATGAAACGAACTAGAAGGATCATAGAAGGACATATTGGATTTGGATTCGATGGCTCTAGGCACAAAATAAACTCTCAGAAACAGTCGACCCAGAAAATATATGGAGATAGGGTGCCAAATCTGGTAACAAGGACCGGAAGGAAAGCAGATGGATGGGGTGCCAAATCTGGTAACTGGAGCAGCCAAAGAAATAATCCTGGGAGACCCCCAAGGAGACCAGATGAGAGGGGTCCACCTCCACCAAGACAACGGTTTGAACTAACAATAGAGGAGAAGAACATTCTTCTAGAAGTTGAACCCATAATATTCCGTGTGAGAAGTTGAGTAATCTTGAGTGGTTTGTCACATGAATGCAATAACAGAAAGCTAACATGGTAGAATGGGCAAGTTTTCTTATATGAGAAAGATGTCTAAAAAAATATGTAGACCAAAATAATAATAAGACAGTGCAAAGGAACAGATCAGTTATATACTAGCACAGATCAGTTATATACTAGCACAGAGTAGTGATGATATCTCAAAATAATAATAAGAAGAAAAAAAAACAGGTCACGAGCGCATGGCATGTAGCCCACGTACACAAAATACCAATAATAAGATGGTGATCAAATGATGTAGTATTCAACACATTGGCCTCAGATATCAGTTGCTCCTCGGTTGACCTTGAGCTTGGAGCATAAGAAACAAACAGAGTAAGAAACAAAGTTCCAGTACCTCAACACAAGCTCAAGGTCATCAGTTCTTGGCATGCTTAATATGATATCATCATTGGCAAAGTAAGTGAGGCCTCAGCTTAACGATATGTTGGTATAATTTCCAGATACTCAATCATAGGTGGCTGCCAAGGCAAAAAAACAGATAGAAGAAAACTAAGATCATGTCCCATGGTTTGATGACAGTCATGAGAATCATACAGAATGCACAAAAAACAAATTGCAGCCACCTCAGAGTTTATTTTTCATGTTGCATCATTGGCCAAATAGATATCAAGAGTTTGAACATCACAGTCATATCAAGAGATTGAACATCAGTGTCATAAATTCTAGATGCTTCAGCACAAAGAACCCTCACTAGATCTAGAATCAGAGCTATGGACTTAAGCAAGACACAGCTGCCACACCATAGGGTGCTCCTCCAGCGCCTAGGGTTAAGTAAACATCATTGACCAAGGCACTTTGCTCAGTTTGTAAATTGGACTAGGCATCATCATGTGCAAAATCTAGGCGACAAATGCTTAGATTTCTAAAAGCAGTTGCCATCATATTTACTACAAGGCATTGAGATAAAGCAATTGTCAATGGGAGGAGCAGCCAAGCACTTACAAATGGAAGAAGACAAAAGTTCCAGCCAAAATTTCACAGAAGAAATACCACAAGACAGTGACCGTCTCCAGAAATTTACCCATTATCAAGAGCAAAAGAACTCGAGAAATGGCTCAGATTTACCCATTATCAGCCTTACAACTGCAACTTAATTTCACCTGGAGCTTAATTTAATTCTCTCTCTAATGGGAATTGAACTGGCCACAGAACTGGTTGCTTGTACTGGTACAAGCCATCCTAGTTAAGCAGCAAACAAAACAAAATATCCCAAGTACCAGCTCATAAGGTGCTAAAGTGCAGAAGTTCTCTAATGGAAACTTGATTCATCACAGCCACTCAAGAGTAGTACAAAACAAAAAAAGTCACAAGGCATAGTTAGGGAAGGGGAGAGCAGCGCGGCACGAGACTAGGGTTCCATATCATCTCAGCTCCGCAAATATCACATATCAAAATGATTGATTAGGTTGATACATGCAAGATATTCAAGATACTGTTTTCATAGCATCTCCAAGCTGCAGGATGCACCCCCAATTTCAGTCCCCTAAAGCTGAAATATTTTTGAATGTGTCAATCTGTAGAAGCAATTCAATATGTAGTAACATACATGAGGTGCTATACTAGTCAGCGCTTTCACAAAAATATCCAAATTATTGCTAAGAAATAAGACATTGTTTCAATCTATAGACAGAGTAACTGCTAATGCATGGTCTGAATTTTTAGACGCAAGCAACATATACGCAACTGTATTTTCAATTCTACTACGAACCACATATCAATCTCACTAGATCTCTTTTTAATTTAATTCTAACACAACCAGACATGACATAGAAATATTAACTTTTTACTAAATATACAAATGTTACTACTACTAGTCATCATATAAATTCACAGGTCTTATCCTTACTGGCACTTAAAGGCACTGGAATCACCAACCCACAAACTGAAATAAGTACAAACATTTCTAGTGGTCGACCGCTTGCTTGTGCCAACATGCTTGTGCCCCCAAGCCGCCACCGGATCAAGGCCAAGATATTAAATTCAGATGCTACCAGCTCAAGATAGTGTCGATAGCAACTACCAACTCAAGATAGAGCTGTTCACTTAAATCATTTGGGTCATCTCATATTGGCAAATTCCTGAATGCCTAGTATGTCCTGGTGGGTTCACCAATACCATCTTTGTTGACTACAATCACATAGTGTGCTCTATCTCATTGCCTATAGATTGTTGACTACAAAAATAATTTAATATTGCACCTAGTAGGCACTTAAAATAGAGAAGACAAAACAGCATGAACATCAACTAAGAGCAAAAATGAAGTGCACAGAGTAATCTTACATGTCACTTTCATCTTCCTTAAGCATAACAGAGTAATCTTACATGTATTGCTCTGGTAAAAAAATCAGTACTAGTTATATTAACAAAATTCAATCCACATCTTACGGCATACACATGGGATTAGATCAGATCTGTTCTGAATACACAAAACCAAATAGCTTAAATTAGGGTTCGTTCTCAAATTTGCACAAAAGGGAAGAGAAGGAACATGCATACCTGGCTTGTGTTGTGGGTGCTTGTCGTTGGCAAAGGGCTCACCTCGGCCACTGGAAGGAGGCTGCACTCGGAGCTGCAACTGCCCTGATGTGGTTGCGCTTGGAGCTGCAGATCTGGATGGCTGAGAAGGGGCTCTAGATCCACCATGCTCGGGAGGGCCCCTACGCCGTGAGGGCTGTGCTCGGGAGGATAAGAGGTCGCCGCCACGCCCCGTCGCCGGCCGGATCCAGGAGAGGGAGGGCCAGATCCGGCCGGGTGAAGAAGGGGGAGGGGAGGGGCACCCGCCGGGGAAGAAGGGGGAGGGAAGGGGCGCCGGCGGGGGAGAAGAAGGGGGAGGGCGCAGATCGGCTCGGTCGGCGGCGGATCCAGCCGCCTGGGGGGCGCCCGCCATGGATTTGGCCGGATCCGGGGGTGAAGGAGAGGGGCCGCGCCCGCCGCGTCGATGAAGAGGGAGAGGGAGGAGAGGGAGTGGCGGCGCTGCTCGGGGAGGGGAGGGGCGCGACGCTGCTTGGGGAGGGGAGGGGCGCGGCGCTGAGTCGCAGAGGGAGGGGCGCGCTGAAAGGAGAGAGTGAGGGAGGGGGCGCGGTCTAGTGCGTGCGTGAGAGGGTGTTTGGGGGTGCGGCGGCCGGCGGGTTAGGGTTAGGATTTTTCTGTGAGTGTACATATTTTTTCTGTGCGTTTTTAAAGAACCGACAGAATAAATTGTATTTTTCTGTGGGTGTTTATTTTTTCCGTGTGTGTATTGTCACGCACAGAAAAATTTGGGTTTTAGTATTTTTCTGTCGGGATATTTTGGAACCGATAGAAAAATCGTAATTTTTCTGTGCGTACCGAAAAAAACGCACAGAAAAATTTATCACCGACAGAAAATGCGAGATTCCAGTAGTGTGTAGCCCCTGGCTCCCTATTTAGGTAGAACCCAACTAACTACAGAGTCAAGAAAAATGTGAACTAAAACAAAAACAATATTGCACGTAAGCAACTGGTATTTTGAGTTCTATTTATCATTGTCCCTTCCTGACTTCAGCTTTTCCTGAGTGAATGTATCCTCTATTCATTTAAGCACCTCACCCAAGACCACATATATGGCTCATGGATTTGATGCCAAAGAAGCATATGATGACCACAACACCAAAAATATAGCCCAGAACAACTGCAGTAACTACAAAAGACATCTATACATCTTATTTGACCGAAACAAAACCTTTGCAACATTGTCAGACCCTTAAAGATTCTGCAGGAAGTGTTTCATAATAAAATTTTGTTTAGTAGCTCTTCAGCTTTTTGGAAGCTACATGGTGAACAGAAATCTCCACTTTTTTGAGATTAAGTTATGGTTTCAAGCTGCCAGTGGCTTATCACAGTGTTCTTTTTACACGAAAGAGAGAATCTGCTGAGTCTATGCTTTGAAATTAGCAGGGAACAAACGCTCAAAGAAGATGCAAGTCACTGTATTCTCATATACAAATCTGGCTTTTCCCACTACTTAACAAATCTTTGCTGTGGAAAGCGTTTTGTCCACCTGTCCTAGTCCTAGCATAGTTCAGTATAAGCTGCTAAGATCTGCTTTACAAGGGTATCATGGAGCACGAAGTTTATGGACATTGTGGTTCTTTGTCTTTTTAAGCATCATCATAAATATCATCTCAAGATTTAGCAGAGCATGCACCAAGAAACTCATGGACTGCAGTTGGAAGTTCATGAATAATCTTAGAGTTATGAATAATCCTCTCAAGATGGAGCACAGCAATACTTGTCTCTGCCCCACGCCTCACAGAAAAGCACACAATCGATTTCTTTTGCAATGTTGACAGTGAAGACTGTTTTCAATGGATGCTTTGAAGCTGTCAAAAAAGGAAATCTCTAAGAGATATGCCGGTTCCAGCATTCTAGTCTAGCTGAGTAGCACTGTCACTTTCTATATACTAGCTAATAAAATGTGCATAACTCAAATAACGTGAAGGCAGGAATCTTTTGGTTTAGTTTTGGGCTCCTTGAACTGGTGTATATATAGGATATGGAAAGATTCATGCACATGTCCTCTTGTGCTGTACAGCGTTTTAGTAGCCACAATGTTTTAGGTTACGCGTCATTTAAACTGCCCAACAGTAAGTTTGCTAGAACATCATTGTAGCGCCAATGGTAGCTCCCCACGTGGCCACCAAAATGTAGAATTTTTTCCTTTGTTTAATTAAGGGAGTGCTATGCATAGCATCTCCATCTACAGATGGTATCTCTTCGCTGTTTTACACAATGTACAGTATATAACAAAGACCTGACCTATTTGGGACATGAATAAGACCACAGCAGCAGCAGCAGCTCAAGCTAAACTTGTGCCAGTTGTTTATCTAGCACCATCCTTTTTGCTTGCATTGTTAACTTGGTGTGAGAGCTGAGAGCAATAGTCAAAGACTTGGGCGAGTAGTTTGCAGTTTCGTCCGTGGAGTA